TGGTGAAACTTGTGCTTTATAGTGCTGTGCTTTAACCAGTTGCATTACCATGGAAGGCCCTCTCCAGGTGACTTTCTAAGGCAGGAAAGGGCACAGTTTTAACCCACTTCATCATACGAGTTTTACTTAATTGTGGCCTCAGATGGCATGCCTAATTTGTTTTCAAATGATCATGAAGAAAACTTAAAAAAATTGCTTTAAAAAATTGCTTTTATTTGAAAATCCACTCAAATCCATATTTTCTTTTAGTTTCTAGAAAGTACCTCAGCTGGGCCCCCACTGATGGTGCAAATGGTTGAAGGTCAGTACTATGAAGCTATCTGAAGCCACAGCAGCACAAGTTCGATCCCCTGCCCCAGGGGTGATCCACATGGCATGGCAGACCTCTCCTGGCCCGCCCCCTGCTTCCCTCAGCAGTGTACTTTGTCAGTCTCCCTGTTCAACTCCCCACTCTGTCTCTGGTGAATCCTCTCACTATCCCTGAACCTCTAGCCTGTACCTCAGTTCTATATGCATAAATAAATAAATCTTAAAAAATGCCCCAAACATGGAAACCCTTATCAGCAATGAGTTTGAGCTGTCTGTTTAAGATATTCACTAGCATAGAAATAAGATTGCTTACAACCATACTCCAATTTTGGACAGAGAATCTGTCTTACAAAAGAGAGAAAGGACCTGGCCAGGCCAAAGAATAAGGAGCAAAGAGAACCAGCATAGACCTCCAAGAGGCTCTCACCTTCACTGGTTGGCATTGAAGCCAACTATGAAATGAACCTTTGGAGAAGGTAGTTTTGGAGAAAGAGGTAGCCAGTGAAAGGCTTGGGGAGATAGTATCATCTTGATATAAAAAGGTAGCTACATGGTTATTTAGCACAACTGTAAAGAAAATTTCTGCAAGAGAAGAAAGAAGTATATTGAATAATTAAGCAAGGAAGGGCATTGAGAGATGAAGCAGTGGACAGTGGAGAACCCCTCTGCACTTTTGGCCCCAACATTTACATACATCTGAAACTTACGTGAGGTCACCTATACATGGGGATAGCGTCTTCTTTTTTCAGCACTTCTTCACATTAGCGATCAAGTTCCGTATCAAGTGATCAAGATGTTTACTGTGCAAAATAGAATAAGACTGACAGGTGCTACCTTATAAAGAGAGAATCACTTTCACTTGGGAATGTCAGCATCTACAGAAAATTCTTTTGTTATCTGAGAGAAGGAATATACATCTGTTCCTAGAGTGATCTCAACGGTTTTGGATCCCTTGGGGTCAGCAGTAGTTATTGTAAAGAGCTAATGACAAAGGGCCCAATTAATCATTCTGCCTGGCCAAAACGAAGGACCAAACTACTGAAACTTGATTTACCATTTGCCTGCCTATTTGCGGATATTCTCTATTAGTTTCCTTATGAACTGTGGGAAGAGTTATAGTTCCCGTTGAAGGTAACTGCCTAAGTTGGTCTCACTTTTGTTCTGCTGCTTCTTTTGTTTTCCCCAGAGTCAATTATAATGTGCGAGACCTTTAGCTTGGGGAATATGGTAATAGCACCCCTGTGATAAGACAAGATCAATATCTATGTTTTTTTCTTGGGAAACTTCCAGAACACTAGATAGGACAAAGTCTGTAGGACTTAACAGGGCTTGCTGATACTAAGGTGCTAGGATAGATCCATGTAGATTAGAGACAAATCAGAATGTCAGGACTAGAGGGGCATGAGAAGTCATTCAATCCACTTATCATCTGTAATATTTTAAGCTATCCTGCTGAAAAATAATTTTTATCAGCATATTTTAGTCCTTGAGGTTGGCCTGACACCTTATCTTCTGATCTTTGGAATAGCTTGAATATTTTCTCCACATCTTCTTCAAATATATAGGCATGGTGTAGTCCTTGAGAGAATACTTTGAAAGTGAACTATTCCACATATCCTTAAACACTTGTGATAATCTTTCTAGCTCCCAAGTCACCTTGGTGTTGTATTGTCTAGAACAGAGGTCAGCAAACACTTTCTGTAAAGACCAGAAAATAAATGTTTTTTGGTTCTGGGACCATACAGTCTCTGTTGCAATGATTCAAGTCTGCCTTTGTTCATAAAAGCAGCCCCAGACAATTTACATATATATGGCCAAAATGATATAATAATAATAATTTCACATTCATAGGTATTGAACTTAATTTCATTGTATCATGAAATATTACTCTTCTTTTAACTTTTTTTCTCAGCTACTTAAAGATTGCAAAAACCATTCTTAGTTTACACACACACACCCACAAACAGATAGCAAGTCATATTTGTACTACAAATGAGTAGAGGTGATCAGGAAAAGCTCTTTACAAAGAGCTGGTCAAATCGATATGTGTGCTTAGATGCTGGATGGCAACCTGTCTTTCCTTTCACAGTCTGGTCTTTTCTTGTGTTTTTATCTTCTACTATCTCATGAAAAATGATTTCAGTTGAAATAGGTTTCAGAAAGGAAATCATTGAATCTTATATATTCAGTGAAGATACTGAATTTTGCATATTGCAACCAGAAAATATATTAGAAGTTACTTTGTGAAGTGGGACAATGTATAAGTGCAGGTTCATATATGGGGTACAGGCCAGAGGTGCAGGAGCGGCGAGAGGCTTCACCAGAGACAGAGTGGGGAGCAGAACAGGCAGATTGAGGAAGTACACTGCTGAGGGGAGCAGCGGGCAGGTCAGGAGAGGTCTG